GACTCCGAAACGTCTCCAAATCAGCTGGACCGTCCGGGGATAGAGTCTCCATTCTCCAGGGAGCGCAGCTCGTGACAGCTCGTCGGCTGCACGGTTGTGCAGGCCCGGAATGTGAATGGCACGAAGCGACCTCAGATGCTTCGGACTCCAGAGGAGGAGGTGGTGGGCGAGTTGTGACATACGCCGGGAGCGCAGACCACCTTGTCGGTTGATGTACGCAAAGGTCGCAGTGTTGTCCGTACGGACCAGTATGTGCCTGTCTTGTAAGCGCCCTCTGAGACGGTTCAAGGCAAGGTGCACTGCTAACAACTCGAGGCAATTGATATGCCACTGCAGTTGGGGGCCCGTCCATACCCCCGAGACTGCTTGCCCGTTGTACGTGGCACCCCAGCCAGTGGTGGAGGCATCCGTGTGTACCACAGCATGCCTCGAGACCTGTTCTAGGGGCACTCATGCCCGAAGAAACGTGAGGTCTGACCACGGGGTGAAGGTTTGGTGGCAGGCCGGTTCCCTGTGCTCGCACAACTGATCCCGAGACTGTGCTAGTATGAGCCAATCGTCGAGAAGTTGAGGATGCGAACACCCTGCTCTCTCAGGGGAACAAGAACCCCCTCCGCAACTTTCGTGAAGACATGGGGGGACAGGGACAGCCCGAAGGGCAGGACCTTGTACTGATATGCCCGTCCCTCGAACGCGAACCACAGAAAAGGTCTGTGGCACGGAAGGATTGAGACATGAAAGTACGTGTCCTTCAGGTCGATCGCTGCAAACCAATCTCAGGGACGAATGCACCCGAAGATGCTTTCTGCGTTAACATCTTGAACGGTGGCCTGTGAAGGGCCCGGTTCAAGACACGCAGGTCCAAGTTCGGTCGTAACCCACTGCCTTTCTTGGGTACAATGAAGTAGGAGCTGTAAAACCCCGTCTTCATATCGGCTGGAGGGACCGGCTCTTTTGCCAGCAGGTCCTTTGCCAGCAGGACTGCAACCTCCACACGCAAGACATGAGCATCGGTTGCCTTCACTGATGTGAAGTGGATGCCCCTGAACTTGGGGGGATGCGGGGCGAATTTAATCGCATAGCCGAGTCTGATGGTCCGAAGGAGCCAGCAAGACGGGCTGGGCAGCACTAGCCAGGCTTCCAGATACCATACAAGCGGGACTACCGACGTACCCGCAGTGGAGCAGTGAGGTGGAACGCAGGGACCCGGCTTAGGCAGCTCGTGGACCGAACGAAGCGGGGTCTGAGTGTGCGGTGCAACACTTACCTGGTTCCAAGGTTGGGCAGAGGGTGCATGAGTAGGGCCTTTGACGACGCTCTCGAACCGCCCACTGCTGCCCATTGGTGACAGAGGAGGATGAGTGGGATCCGGTTCTGGACCGTCCACAACTCTCCGTGCCCTCTTGAGACCCAGAGATACAAGAAATTTATCTTTTGTTGAGTGTTTGGGTACCACCGACCGAGAGGTCAGTGGCGGGATAAAACAAAACAAAAGATTCTCCGCCCGGCCCTCCTCTGGGGGAGGGAGTGGTACATTTATCATCTCCAGAAGAGCAACTCCCTCCATCTCTGGGTCGCCCGTCTCAGGGCCTCTTGCTCTTCCTCTTACCGCCAGGTTTGGCAGGGCCAAGACGGGCGGGGCGGATGCCCTGCGACAAGCCACGTCCTCTGAGAAAAACTATATCTTTGTTCTAGTATTCTTTTAATGGTCAAGGGGATCCGTTTAATTAAAAAAATATATAGCCTATATAAATGGAACTTTATTAGCCAGAAAAGGGTAAATCTCCCATGTTGAACAACTTGTCTTTAAAAATCTGCATACAATAATTGTTCTCTCTGCTTCTTTTTGTAGGGCGACTTTGAAGATTCTGCATGAGGTTAGATTGTGGCCGGAACAAAATGAAATGAGTGGCTAACAACTGACCTCTTCCGCTGCACCACCACCACCAGCAACTTGTAGCATCTAACCAGTGCCTCTTCACCAGCCTGATACACAACGCACCCACATACACACAAATACCTAACAGAACACCATCAGACTGTAAGTTTGCCCAGCTTCAATTTATTATCTTTGTACAAAAATTTCTCTCTGGTTGATTAATGCATAATATCAGGCTGTTGTCGTGCTTGTTTAGCAATCACTTGAGCGCCCTCTCTCTTTCTCTTTACTTCTTTCTGATGTATTTGGGTGAATCTTAAAAAAATCTGTAAAGAACAGGCCCGGGTCATATTTCAAATCGAAAAAAAACCAAAGCCTATTTTATAACCATCAACAAATCATATTTTTTTTACACTGTGACATTATTTACAGAAAAAAAAAATCTCATTGTCAGTGGGAACAACGTATAATGTATTTGACATTATGATGTATATATATTTTTTTCACCATGTTCTGTCTAAATTCTAGATTCTGATTGGCTGGAATGTGTGTTGTGGAGGAGAAACTCACTCTAGACAAGCAATTACAAGCAACATTATCCCAGAGCTGTATTCTCGGTCATCTGATATCTGTAGTCATGTATACACACGTCATGCTGTGGTCAGAGGAAGGTTTAGCTATCGCCAGCCTTACACACACTCCACCTATGTTTATTACAATAATGATAATATACTGAAAATCATCATTGAAAATAATCAGAATTATGTAAAGTCTCAAAAGTAAAATGGATGCATTACAGTAATGAGAATTTGGGGGTGGGGGATGGGAATGCGCTTAATTGTCATTAAAATAATGTCATAACACTTAAAAATGATTGTGGTCCTAAAATATGATTCATTTTCTTTATGCAAAATATAAATCCTTATTTTTTGTTCTTTTGATTTTGGAGTTAGATAGGTTAGATAAATTTGCTCATCAACATTGTTGTGCTCTCAACGGACTAACATAAATGTGAGCTTATGGCCATAAAGGAATGTCTCGAAACTAGCTATGATGGTGTTCCCTTAAAGAATGAGGTTCAATATCTTGGAATATTGATAACCAAATTTATTACAATAATGATAATATACTGAAAATCATCATTGAAAATAATCAGAATTATGTAAAGTCTCAAAAGTAAAATGGATGCATTACAGTAATGAGAATTTGGGGGTGGGGGATGGGAATGCGCTTAACTGTCATGAAAATAATGTCATAACACTTAAAAATGATTGTGGTCCTAAAATATGATTCATTTTCTTTATGTAAAATATAAATCCTTATTTTTTGTTCTTTTGATTTTGGAGTTACATAGGTTAGATAAATTCGCTCATCAACATTGTTGTGCTCTCAACGGACTAACATTCACACTTGCCTAACTGTCATCAAATTGTCTGCCAGTTCTCTTTCTTAAAGGGATACCCTTGTGAAAAAGAATTCAGCTTTTAGTATACCTTAGTATACTTGTAATGTTTTTGGACATTTAATTGAATGTTAATTGCAGTTGAAAATATATTAGAATTTATATTTGCATTTAATGCAATTAGCTGAAGTTTAGAGTGTTTTTTTACTTTTAAGTATCTATGAATATAATTTCATATAATTTTGTTTGCCTTTGAAATGTGGTTATAGTGTACTGCCAAATATACTGACCAGTATTTATGGTAAACTAAAATATATTATATTTTAATAATAATATGTAATGTAAATTTCATTTAAAAAGATTTGTATTTATACGTTTGTAATACTAAAAATGCAATTTAGTACTTTTAAAATATATTAACTTTAAACGTAATATTAAAAAGACACTACAGTTAATATTTTAAGTAATTTATATGTGCTTTAGTAAGTCAACACATAAAAATAAGTGCTCTTCTTTAAAGCACCACAAAAATTAGTTTCAAGCGTAATGATTTAAAATGTAACGAGAAACTTAGTCGTGAAAGGGTATTCTCTTTGAGTACACACATTTCATTAATATTATATTATCTGCAAATACAGTTTATTTGAAATATATACTATTAAGATATGAAGCACGCTACAAGTGCACATTTAAAACAGTTAAGTGCGCTGCTTCCCTTTCATGGGAACTTCGAACTGCGTCCTCTAGGGGTCGCTATGGGGAACGCCAAAGATTTGTATTTATACGTTTGTAATACTAAAAATGCAATTTAGTACTTTTAAAATATATTAACTTTAAACGTAATATTAAAAAGACACTACAGTTAATATTTTAAGTAATTTATATGTGCTTTAGTAAGTCAACACATAAAAATAAGTGCTCTTCTTTAAAGCACCACAAAAATTAGTTTCAAGCGTAATGATTTAAAATGTAACGAGAAACTTAGTCGTGAAAGGGTATTCTCTTTGAGTACACACATTTCATTAATATTATATTATCTGCAAATACAGTTTATTTGAAATATATACTATTAAGATATGAAGCACGCTACAAGTGCACATTTAAAACAGTTAAGTGCGCTGCTTTTTCATAAGGGAACACGTTGCAGTGTCATATGAACTACACAAAATACCCTATAGGACTTATAATTTAAAAAATAATAAAAATGTATGCCTATTATTTATTTAAAAAAACCTATTTATATCATATTGTGTTGTACGTTTTAGGTGCAAAGTAATTTTGCATGCATAAAGTCTCGCATGGCACAGTCTTACTTAGAGTGCTATTTAGACATCACACACTTCAGTATCATTTAGCAGACTGACATCACACCGAAGGAAGACTTTAGCTGTCTCTTACTGTACTTGTATACAGTACCACACTGGTCTAATATCACCGTTGTTCAGTGTTTAGTGTATTTTTCCCTCTTGGTGAACAAGCTTAGGCACTGTGAGCAACATAAACATAATGCGATACTTTGATTCATATCAATATTCCTAGTTCAAATAAATCATACTGCTGCAAAATCATCATCAGTCACTTGACTAACTTTGCAGATCTAAAGGTACACGACAATAGCTACATTTAGACATTTTCTAATCCAGATCAAACTAATTATTTTACAAACCATTCCAAATTTTGCATTACTATTCAGACTAATATTGAATAATACATTTATTTTAGGAATTTAGAGCAAGACTGTCTTAAAACTTCTCCCTTCTTTTTTAGAGGCACTTGAAACTGATGTCATTATCAATCCTGAATCAAAAGCAGACCCCTCTTTAAGCTTGCCTTCAGGAAATCAAGCTCAAGACTTTTAGGAAAAACATAATATAATAATATCTTGTCTATTCGTCGATCACCTTAATGTGTGGACCCCTCAACAATTTAAAGAGAACATTACCTATTCTCATCCCACTCTGACACTGTAAAAATCTGGGCTATGCATGTGTAAAATTGGAATCGGACATTAGAAATAAAGCATGGAAATTTTATTAATATTATTATTATTTAACAGTGTAAGTTTCCAGGGTCTTGCTGCGTACCACGTACCACTTCATGAGAACTACTTGGCTAGACGGTTTCACACACACACAAAAAAAAACAGATTACTTTTTCATCAAGAGGTTTTAAAGTTTTACAGAAACATGTCTAGACACACATAAGTACATGATTTTTCTTCTCCTTTTTCTTGTACAACATTTTGCCTCACTAACCTTCAAAAATGATGCATATTTCTTTGCGGTATCAAGCATGCAGTGTCAATCCTTTAAGGCTTAGAGGTTGCATACTTGAAATCTGCTGTTTGCTATGGATCCTAAATGAATGACCTGCTCTGCTAACCCATCTTTTCACATCCTTTTATGCAGCACTAACATTTAAATGCTCTTGAAATCATATGAGTGAAGAAATGGCATTTTAATGCTTTCTTAGGAATAGTAAACACTCGCTATTTCAGAGTTTGCTATTATAATGAGCTAAGGGAGTAAGACATGGTATCAAAATGACAATGCATAAAACTGAGAAGTGCTCAGAGAGGAATGCACGTGGAAAGGGGAGAGAGAAATATGAAAAGGAGCAAACAGTGTGTGCTTTCAACTTTGCGTGTGCGGGTTTCTATACAACAATGTTTTGCAAAGGGAACTGATGTTATTGCTGTCCGTTGATTTTCAAAAGTGTTAAAACTCTTCTAGGCATTTTTAAGTGTTTCAAAGCCTTCTGTTGAAAAAGGGTGTAGCACCTCACAGAAAGTAGACATTTTGTGTTCTCTCCAAACTGTTTGTATAGACAGTCACGTTCCTTCAAATGCAGACCAGCATGAATGTGAGCTTCAGAGAGGTCTGAAAATAATTCATTGCATGAATAATGATCCCATGGACCCATCGAGGCTTGATTGATTTGATTTACTTATTTTTTGATTTCATATGCAACACAAAAGCGAAACACATGCTGCATATTCAGACTAGTTCACACGTTAGCTCAAGACTGCCCTCTGTCTGTGAGAAGAAAAGCTTTTTTTTTAGGTCACTGCTTTCTAGCCACTCCACTTTTCATAAATAATGTCTCCAGTGTGCTAATTTGTGATACTTTAATGCTGTTTGGTAGGATGTACTGAAATTGCCCTGGCGATGCCACCTGTTAAGTTGTAAAGAGCGACATTGATTATTCAGTGTGTTGTTGCTATTAGGCTAAATGCTAAAGTACATGTTTGTAATTTAATATCATCTCATGACATGTAAAAATATCTGTAGCTGTAAATCTAAAGTACGGTGCCCCGAAATAGATGTGTAAATTATAGATTTAGAAATTAGTTATTGTAGAATTCTATATTTTGACTGGCTTTGTGAATTGGGTTTGTCATGTGCTTTGTTTTGTCGTGATATTTTGGATTATGGTGTGTTCAATCCTAAAATTCCTAAAATTTATACAATACCTTAATTCAATACCTTAAAATTACATTACCTTTTTCAACATTTTAGGTTACAGTGTATATTATGTAAAGCATGGTGTGTATTAAATATAGTAAGTGGGCACCACTTGCTTTCATTTGCATTCTTTACTTCCTTTAAATGGTTTTGCAGTGTGAAAATACAAAATATACAAATATTCCAGGCTGTACTTACACCCTCAGAAAAGTAATTAAAAAATAGGGCCCATTGTACAGTTAATATGAAGGAATTATAAGTAAAGCTTTAAAGGGATGGTTCACCCAGAAATTCAAATTTTGTTTTTACTCACCCTCATGTCATTCCAAATCTGTATGGCTTGCTTTCTTCTGTGCAATGTAAAAGAAGACATTTTGAGAAGTGAATTATAATAATAATAATAATTATTATTATTATTAGTCAATGCAATCAGTGGTCAGCAAAATGGTTTGATTCTCATTATTCTTCAAAATATCTTGTTTTGTGTCAGGTTTGTAATGACATGAGGGTAAGTAAATGATGATAGAATTTTCACTTTTTGGGTGAACTTTTATTCTGTGCTTATTAATGCAGAAAATATCTGTTTTTGTTATGCAGGCGTTATATTATTGGACCAAATAAATGAACATGAAACAGTTCCATTAAAACATTACACACTGAATTAATAGTAAGAAATAAACACTCCCACTTCCCAAATTCTAATCTTAAATATCATATTTACTTCCTGATGGGGCTTGATTATCAACTTAAAAAAAAATCCTAAAGTAATTAAAATAGATTTTCTTAGTCACTCCAAATTTTTTAAATTGGTCATTTTGTGAAAATAGACCTCAACTAGGCAATGTCAGTATATTTAAATATACAGTATATTTAAATATAAATATACAGTATATTTAAATTATAATTTTATGCATTTGGGTTATATTTACTGTTCTCTAGATTTTGTAATACGTTTACACAGTTTATCTGTTCTTCAAAACCATAGAGACACAGTGATAATCTCAAAGATCAAATAGTATGCCACATAGATACATTTTGTGGCCAAATATTTTTAAAGAATAGTATGTGAAAGTATATATTATGCACCGATTTTAAAGAGTAGTAGGCTACACTACATTGATGTCCTAACCATGTGTATACATTTATTTCGATGAGAAATGTCCAGTATGAATGTAAATATTTAGCATTTTGAAATCCAATATTATGTATGAGAAAAACAAAACAAAACAGTTTTGTCAGTATCATTAAGAAGACTTAAGGTGGAGATGTTTCAGTTTATATTACTTCAATTTCATTCATGGTGGAAATGATGAGTAAATTGCATTGTGGGATACAATATTCTCTGAGTGTTTGTTGGAATGTTTGAAATTGAATACTGGCTTACTATTTAATGACTACTGCACATTATACACAGTATACTATCTACAGATTTTTAAAAAGAGTAGGTTATTCCTCAGTAAATGGTTTTGGACAGTAGTATGCTACTTGGTAATCACATGACCTCACTATAGTTGTCAGATGACCTCATTACATTAGCAAGTGGTGTCCAGTTACTTTCTATTCTTATTATACTGTTATACTATACTATACATACTATTCCCATCCTGTTTCTAGAGGGCCACATTTCTGCAGAATTTAGCTACAGCCTGCTCCACCAAAAAATATTGCTGGCCTACATTAAGTAATCACATGTAAATAAACTAACGCACTTCTCTTACTATTGCTGCAGGACATTATAGTACAGGGTTGTACAGTAGTATAGCTGTTGAATAAATTCTTACAATTTCTGAAATACTTTACAGTGCATTGACAGGACATAATCCATTCTTCTAAAATCACAGTGATACTCTGCTGTTGGCTACATGCTGGCAAACAACATCCCATGACCGTGTGGTCCATAAGGGGGAGACAGAAAATGAATACACGTTCTACAGAAAATGTCAATGAACAAAAGCAACGAAAGGCCATAGACATTCCATAAGATAATGCAAGATTGAAGCACATGCCTGTGGTTATCTATGGTTTATTTGTTGGTCATACTCAACCTATAAACACACAAGGTAATTAACATGCATGCCTAAAGCAATAACAATTTTTAACTATATATTTCACATACTTGAAGAAAAACTTAGGGGGGGGGTTGTGATGGAAATTTATATATATTTCTTTATTTTCTATTTTCCATATTGTATATTCTCTGTTTCCCATATGTTCTATTTGCACAGGTGTTAGCCTTTAGTATTTTCTCTGTGTATGTGGCTAAAACTTCTGTCAGCATTCCTCTAACAGGGGAATGGCTATGACCAGTTAGAACTAATCTGAGAAGATACGGTTGAAGGTCAAATTCGATCCTTGAACAGCCTTTATCAGTATAAAAGAGACACATTTAATAAAAGATTCATATTTTTCTTCACAACAAGACTAGGAAAGATCTCTCAGGTGCATACCTAAAAGAAACGTTGTTGTAGTTAAAGGTTTTAATGTTTGAATTTGTACAAATAATAATCCATTTTGAAAATACAGTGACCCAGCTCTCGTTCCAATACGTCCACAAAAATGATGTTAGCATCAATTGGTTAGCTGGAGTAGCTGGACAAGTTGATTTGCTGGAAAAGCATCATCTGCAAAGCTCTAGCATCAAATTTTTGAATTTGTGCACAGGATCTGAGCTGGATGGAGATGGTTGTCGCATCTGTTCCTCACACAAATCAATCGTTTTGCCCCGGAAGACTTGGAATATTAATACTTTTTGCATAAAGTGTGACTGTAGTTGTATCTGCCTTTTATATCCTGTGTTTTACATTGACAGATGGTTAGGTTTAGGGGCAAGTGTTGGGTTACATGCTGAAAAATGTATTAATAGTGTAATGTTTGTTATAGTGTTATAATAGTGTTAACTGTGTGTGTGCACTAAGGATGGGTTAAATGCAGAGCACTAATTCCTAGTATGGGTAACCATACTTGGCCACATGTCACGTCACGTCACTTAAATATAATGTAAATAAATGCTCTTATTCTATCCAGGCTGGACTATTGCAATGCTCTCTTGGCAGGTCTTCCAGCCACTTCTATCAAACCTCTACAATTAATCCAAAATGCTGCTGCAAGATTAATCTTTAATGAGCCGAAAGAACGCACGTCACACCTCTGTTCATCAATTTGCACTGGCTACCAGTAGCTGCTCGCATTAAATTCAAGGCATTAATGTTTGCCTACAAAACCACCACTGGCTCTGCACCCATTTACCTAAATTCATTACTTATTATGTGCCTTCTAGAAGCTTGCGTTCTGCAAGTGAACGGCTTATTATTGTGCCATCTCAAAGAGGCACAAAATCACTTTCACTGACTTTTTCATTAACTGTTCCCAAAAAACAAAAACAAAAAAACAAACAAACACTAGCTTTCTATTTTTTCTATTCTATCTACTTGTTTTTCTTTGTTTGTGTGTGTGTGTATATGTGTGTGTGTATAATATATATATATATATATATATTTACACACACCTTGCTACGTGTACTGCGTTAGGCTAACCGAGACTTGTCATTTGCACTTATATATTGTTGCTCTTTTGTTAGTTTTGACTGCTTTTATTGTCCTCATTTGTAAGTTGCTTTAGATAAAAGCATCTGCTAAATGACTAAATGTAAATGTAAATAAAATTGTTGTGACTGTTTAAATTTAAAACCACACCCCAACATATGTAATAGTGGCAAAATTATTACACAATATATAATCGTATCATTACAATCCCATGCCCTTCGCGTCGGCATATTGACGTCAAAGGTCTCTTATTTAAAGCAACGGAGTACTGTGCACTTCGAAAAACAATACCAAAGGGGTTCCCTGTGTGTTAAAAAGTGATGCCCAAAGGGTCCCCGACCAAGCTTCAATATGTGACGAGTTGGGAGTGAGAATGTGTTGTAAGTGTAGCTAACAGTAGTTGTTAAAATACTTTTATTTATGGTCAACATTATACAAAAGTGCTTGAGAAGTGCAAAAATCATGTGCATGACTTTTTCTGTTTGTGTTTGTCTGCCACACAGGTGACATCAGGTGCAAGGGGATGACCGACCGCATTCACCACATTAATCTCCACAACTTTAGCAATTCTGTACTTGAGACCCTCAATGAGCAGCGAAACCGCGGGCACTTCTGTGACGTGACTGTTCGGATCCATGGTAGCATGCTGCGAGCTCACCGTTGTGTGCTGGCTGCAGGCAGCCCCTTCTTTCAGGACAAGCTGCTCCTGGGCTACAGTGACATCGAGATCCCCTCTGTGGTTTCTGTACAGTCCGTCCAGAAACTGATTGACTTCATGTACAGCGGTGTGCTGCGGGTCTCCCAGTCTGAGGCCCTGCAGATCCTCACAGCTGCCAGCATACTTCAGATCAAGACCGTTATCGACGAGTGCACCCGCATTGTTTCACAAAATGTTGGCATTGCTGGATCTGGCAGCTTTTCCGTCGTCCCAGGCGACTCGGGGCAGGAGACGCCACGGGGAACTCCTGAGTCTGGCACGTCCGGTCCCAGTAGTGATGCCGAATCAGGCTACATGCAAACATCTCACCAGAGCATTGACCGTGTTTATTCCTCACTTTATTCCAGCTGTTCTGGGTTGAGCCTGCAAAACGGTACCCGTGGAAATCGCTCCCACTATGCCAGTGCCGCGGTGACAGCCAGCTACGACTCACCCCTTCCACTACAGCAGAAGGAGGGAGGGCAAGACCCTGCCTGGATCACACGCATCCATGAGCGTTCGCAGCAGATGGAGCGTTTTCTGGCCACGTCAGAGACTACACACTGCCGTAAACAGCCTCGTCCCGTGAGGCTCCACACAGGTGATATTCACATCAAGCAGGAGCAAGGGGACGAGTACAACTGCTACGGGCTTGATGACTGCCGTGAGGACAGCGAACAGCTGGAGTGCGTCGAAAGTGAGCCCAAAGGTGAGAGCTTTGACTCCGGCGTCAGCTCTTCCATTGGCACAGAAACTGATTCTGTCGAGCAGCCTTTCTTGTCTGGGTTCGCTCGAGACAACTGTCCAAATAAAGGCCAGCAAGGTGAGCGTGGAACCCCTGTGCAGATCGAGGTCAACGATTCATCTCCCGAGCAGACTCAAGAGTCGGTTGAAGACGGGAATAGAAACGGTCCTTCTCAAGAGAGTGGTGAGCTTGGAATCCATCAGCCGCCACAAGCCAACCTAACAGCACCACAGTCCATGCCTGGTGGGCCATACCTGCGGCCAGGTGAGCCACTTACCAGCAACCTGCGTATGCCCCTCACCCTGACCAGCAACACCCAGGTAATGGGAACTGCAGGCAACACTTACTTGCCTACACTCTTTGCAACCCAGTCAACCAGCGACAACAAGCCTTTCCTCTTCAGTCTGCCCCAGTCCATTGGGAGTCAGCAGCCCCAATTTGTGGCAGTGCCCTCTCCCAGCATGCCTCCATTCCCCAGCGGACTGACGGTGCTACCAGGTGGAAGTCAGCAGCAAGGTGGTGCTGCAGTGGGACAGCATGGGGAGAAGAGGCCCTACGCATGCACTCTTTGTTGTAAGACCTTTACTGCCAAACAAAACTTCGTGAAACACATGTTTGTGCACACAGGTGAGTTCCCTTGGCCTTTATCTCTGTATGGTTAGCTAGTGTTGTATCCGATTATATCCATAAGCTAGTCTGAAACACTTTTGATTCAAGGCGAATAATTGGTAACAATTATTGTGAATTTTCCTTGTTGGCTGTCCTCTGTGGATTAGGTATTATATTATAAGCAGCCCAGTTCATTTCAGCAGTTTGACTAGTATCCGTCAGGACCTCAAAATTATTGATATGATTCTTCAGTTAATGGGTTTTAACACAAAGCTAAGACTCAAAGAAACGAGAGCTTTGTCTTTGGCGAAGTCTCTAAGCTTTACACAGAATGTTCTCAAGCTATTTGCCAAATGCATGCTAGTTCCAGTTTTGGAGTCATCTCTTCTGGAGACTGATCTTGCAAACTGATCTTGCAATTTATTAGCAGAGCATATTCAAAATGGCTTTAATACTTCTGAAGCGTACAGTAAAATATCGTGCCTTCAAAAGAGCATTCAACTATGTCAATGTTAAGTTTAGTAAGATAATTAAATTTGACACTGTGAACTCCTGAAGTAAATTACCATCCAATAATGATCTGTCTTCAGGCCAGAACCAAGTCTGTGTGATCTTATATGTTTATTAAAACAATCAGGCTTTGATCCTTGGTATGTCTTCAAACATGCTGCCATAATTGAATCACAGGAGCTTTTATCGTACAGTATAGCACAAAAGATATTTTACAATAACAACAGATGTTATTGCCTGTGACCTAGAAGATTGTGGCTGCCAAGAACATAAATATGTATGTAACTGGTCAGGTTTCGTCTTACAGCAATATACATTTACTTCCTTGTGATTTTTACTTTTCTACAATAGTTCTTTTTTTTCTACCAATTTTTAAAAATTCACTTTTCTTGTTTTCTATTTCTTTTTCTGTTATGGAGTTATTTCTAATGAATTCTTAATACCTAATTGAATCAATTTTGAGTTTCATTTAAGAAACCAGTAGAAATGACTGCCTCACAAGCTTCACATGTGATTCCTGATTGTAATAATGACCATGAAAAATGTCCAAACTTCCGAACTTGATGAGAAAAGAGACGTGTATGAAATTTCAATGTAGCTTAAGCATGTTGGCTGTGCTGGCCTTTTCAGATTTCAAAATTTGACATTACTGTTGCTAGGCAACCACAGCACTAATTAATTCCATAATTAAAATGAATACATTTAGCAACATTAATAATCTGCATACAAAGTTCAACTTTAAAAACAAGTTACAGTTAAAAACAAGAATTATAGGAACAATTTTTTAATCTGTACTTTTTAATTATTTTACGTAATGATATGCACAGAGTATCACATGTCAAATTTTGTGTTTTTGTAAGGTTTTATCAAAAAACAAAACATAGACATCATGAGTTCAAGAGGCATATTTTTTTCTTAAAAAGAGGAACATGTACAGTATGTGTCAAATTTAAGGTCTGTAGCTGTCATATATTACATACTTATAATTACTGAAATGATTTGCCTGCAAAATACGGTAACTTTTCACCATACTGTCACAAAAAGCAGAAGAAGAACCTGCTCAGCTTTGCTGCCTTGATCTACAATAGCATGATCAAAATGATCAGTGATATGATTGACAATGGTTCCTTTCTAATGAGTTTGTGCTCTGTGCTCTTTCAGGTGAAAAGCCACACCAGTGCAGTATCTGCTGGCGTTCGTTCTCGCTGAAGGATTATCTCATCAAACACATGGTTACACATACAGGCGTCCGAGCAGACCAGTGCAGCATCTGCAACAAACGCTTCACCCAGAAGAGCTCGCTCAACGTCCACATGCGCTTGCACCGTGGAGAGAAGTCCTACGAGTGCTACATCTGCAAGAAGAAGTTCTCCCACAAGACCCTGCTGGAGCGCCACATGGCCCTGCACAGCACCGAAACCAGGGTCTCCAGGGTCAGTGCCGCCGGGAGCGCCGGAGGCCCCGCATCCATCCCGGTTCCGATGGCTGTTCCTGAGCCGGGAGTGGGAGTGGTGGCTCTCGCCATGCCGGTGGGAGCGGGCGGAGCAGGGGGTGGAGTCGCACCCACCGGAGTGGGCGTTGCTGAGGAAGCGAGCTGCCAGGAGGGGACCACCTACATGTGCTCCGTGTGCCCTGTCAAGTTTGACCAAATCGAGCACTTCAATGACCACATGCGCAAGCATGTCTCCGACGGATAAGTACAAATAAAAAAAACTTGCGTAAACATGAAAAAGAATGAAATGATAACGAAAACGGCACTAGATTTTTTTTTCTTATATTGGGGCATGAAGAGTAATGAGTATAGACACTGGCACATTAAGTTTTCTAGAAGAAAAAAAAAGAAGCGTTTAATTTCTTTTCTTTTTTTTTTGTCCTTGCTATTCTTAAAGAATAAAAAAAAGATGGTGGCCTTAAGGCTGTGTAGTTGGATAATGATCCACTGGCTGGATCCATACTACTGGCCTCTAAATGTATGCTTTCCTTAAATACTGATTTATGTGTTGAACACTACCGAAAGGCCTGCGAAAGAACACACAAGAAAAAAAAATTTCACATGCGCACACACACTCAGACATACTGTACACACAAACACAAATACACATACCCATGCATGCACTCACACGCACAAACTACTTATACACACTTATATATGGTAGAGGTATTTTGTACGTATGTGTATTACATTTTCCTTTTCTCCTTCCACGCTTTTTTTCCCCGATGGTTCAGGTCAAGTTTACAAAAAAAAAAAAAAAAGAGTTTATCAATGACAGTATTCGAGCAAAAACTTTGAATGCCGTTAATAATTTCCAATTCGTTTTGCATACACTGCCACTAAGAAGACGACTGTTAGTTGACCTCTTCCGCTTCAAAACTAAATGTGATAAAGTTGTGAGCAACTGATTTGTTCTTTTCATTTGCTCCCATTTTTTTTTTTTGGACAAAAAGAAAAAAGGAAAATGGCAGATTTCAGTATGCAAACAGGCCCAAAATCCAAGTTAATTGCTGCTCCTCACGTGCTCACTTTGAGACTGTTATCAGCTGTAGAATCCAACATTATGTGGATATTTCTCTATTATTTCTCAGTGAACATGGGAAACGTTAAGCTATTTGGAGCCATGGGCTAGATTAGATCAAAAGTGAACTGGACAGAAATAACCTCCTAAATGCATAAAAATTATGTATTTCCTGTTAGCGGCGACTACTATGACTCAGTTGTTTGGGCCGGTGGGGTAACTAAAATGCACTACTCCTGTTCCTAAAGCCCCACCTAGTGGCTCAAACAGCCGTCCTTGTTTTTTGCCTGATGGGATATACACATGGGGCGAGAGAGCAGGCGAAGGATATAGGGACGCAAGGCAACAGAAAATGAAACATCTACTGAACCACAATAAATTCAACACGGTCATTCTTCTTTAATATACCACAGGGAGAAAACACACCAAACAATAAGAAACATTCCCAATTTTACCGATATCTAGACATTGTGTGTGTACTTCGGAAGTGAGTTGAGAAGGTTTGAATTTTTGGTGTTACGTCACTCAGAAGCTCTGTGTTCATATTTGGTTTTGTTATACACGTATTTTATGGATCTAAAAAGACTCATCTGCCGTGCAACTGCAATCAGGCAATTTTGCTCACTTATCTGAGTAGATACACTTTTGGAGTGTAGTTAAAATGATGACAAAATGTATCGATCACAATTTATTTAAACTTTTTCCATTTTGGAATTTGGTCGCATAAGTTGTAGGTTTGAAAAACAGTGCTACTTTGCACATTTACTTCAAAATCCTGTGCTTAAACATTGAATTGTTTTACTTAAGAAATTAAATTCTATGGTTTTCTTTTCTTTCATTGTTTATAAAGGAAATATCTTTTCTTAAAAGCTTGATAAGAGGACTGCATTGTTTTCTTGCATATATGTTGCACTGCTTAAACCAATAAGTGCACTACTGTTACCAGAGATGTTCTAGTTTTTAGAGATAATCATTTTTTTTTTATCAAATATTTGGTTCTATAGTTCACTTGTGTTTGAGTAGCTTTGTTCTTTTTTTGATTAGATGATTAAATTTTTTCTTGGCTTTGTTATCATCACTTGCTATTGTATTTACTTTGTGCTGTTTATGCAAGCATTTTTTTCTTCTTTATTTATATTTAAACCATTGTAAACGTATCCCTGGTCAGATCCTAATGATGTATTGCTTACACCACTTCCATCCCTCCCCCATCCCAACACTATCCCAGTGCAGTTAATTAATTGAAGCAAATGCTTGGTTTTCTTCTCATTCATACCAAACTAAAAAAAACAAAAAAACAAAACAAAATAAACAAACAAAAAAACATCAAAACCACAAAAAAACGAAAGAAAAAAAAGAATTGTAGTGTGTGCCTAAATATATGATAAATGTCTTTTAGAACAAGTACGTTTCTACGAGAGGGTCATTGTGCAAAGCTTTTTAGTGCTGTCTAGGGATCAAGCACATTTATGTATGTGTTTGTATGAGCATGTGTGTGTATATTCCTCTGGTATGTCTCTATGTGTGTGCTGTACAATTTGTGATGCCTGAACTGTAGGGCTTCCTTTGCAATATGCAGTACAGGTACGGCAACAGTGACATCATGTTATTTTACATACTTAGGAGTGCATTTGGTAACTTTCTCAAGAACAATCATTACTATTTTCCCTACAATAAATGACACAAGGAACATGATGCTGTTAAGGCCCTTGCTTTAAGTCTGAATGAAATGATCTGGCCTAACCCAGTGCTGTCAAAGTCAATTCAACGACTTCAATACGCCTGTTGAATATTCTGTATCGTTCTCCAGTGCTTCGAGACCAAACATCGCTTTTTAACTCAATTATGCTGCAAAGTTTGGCCACAGGCCGTGTTGTATCAGTCTGAGGTGTTGCCTTAGACTTGCATACGTGTTTGTTGGTCATTTCCAGTCGAGTTTCAGATCCCGATCTTGTTTTACTTCAGCTTGGCGTACCATTTTGACGGTTGTGTTGAGTAGCTAAATGATCTGTTGGTGGTTTGTGGCGGTGGCGGTGGTACAGTTGATAGTCGAAAGAGTCCTGTCTCATCCATTGGTTGTGAATCGTTTGTTGGTTCTAAATGTTATTTTTTCCCATTCAGTAACCGTCCGTATGGATTTCAACTGCCGCAAATCGCAGAAACGTTATACCAGAACATACGTGTCTCTAAAGAAGGGTCAGGCCAGCATAAACGTTAACATTTCGACGCATTAAAGCACTTAATGAGCGCTACCAGAGAGTGGGGTGGGAGGGAGGGACTTACACTGGCCATCAGCTGTGTCTTTACAGATAGCCTTAATCATGTTTGACTCAAGCGACCAAATGCACTATTGCTTGTAAAGGTGCTGTTGCAATTTCTAGCGTTTATTTTACACAAGGGATATATATTTAAGAGAAAGCAACCTTGCAATACAGTATTGGTAAATTGTCTAGTGAAGGTTATGAAGGACATACAGCTACATGCAAATCGCCGATTTCTCTTGTCATTTTGGTATAGATTCATTCGGCCATGCGTTTTAACCAAGCATGGAGGCAACAGCGTCACCGGTCCTAGTATCAGGCTTCATATATTAAAGCTGTCTCATCTCGCTTGTGTTGAAGTGCTATGAGGCTTTAATATCCGATATTACTGTTACTCTGTGTTTGTTCATATGTAAAAAGGAAAAAGAACAGCGACAAAAAAATAAAAATAATGTTTTATTTCACAGAGACATTGTTTAGCCAAAATTGTGTAGTTTGTGAAAGTGTACAAATCTGCACGAAGATGTTTAGACACAATTCAGATGCTTAAATGTCATAGTCTACTATCCATTGCATCTAGACTGGACACCGTTTTTGTGGGTAAAAAGCACTATGACGATCACTTCTATGGGTAGTTCAGATAGACTTTTTACATTACTTACAGTATATATTTACAGTTCATAAATGTAGAGTTAGCTTTTATTTTAGTTTTCTGCTTAAAATTGTAATTTTACAATACATATAAATTTTCTTCAGTGTACAGTATAGATACAGCATTCTCTTTGCTATTACAGTAAGTTTTTTGGTGTAGGACTACCGCCTTTTCTCCTTGCTTTTTAACAAGGGTACTTTTTTTAAAAACAAAAATCTTAATTTATAAAGAATATCTATTCCTAGAGTATAGACTTGTGGGCACAGAAAAGACCTTGGAAAACATCACCAATATCTACGTAGGAGCGGAAGGGGTTTTGCTCGCTCGGCAGAGTGAATATTACTTGGAACAGTTGAATGACTGGTTGTGTTGTATGCTCAGAGACTAAGCTTTTTCATAACATGCAAAATATATCATGCGTCCTATAATACTGGTCTGAGAAAACCCCGGTGAAATACTTCAGTCAGATTCAGTCAGCCCATTTTCCCCATCACCATATTTAAACAGTCAGCTTCAATTTAACATCGCTGCATTGAAATCTTTCATCTTGCAGTTGTTTTCTTCTTCGAACAAACAAAGACTTAATCTTCTCTCTACACAATGGTCAGACTAATTCAAAACAAGCTAGAGAATCCATGTCTTCATCAGCATCTACAACAGATAATACTGTAACCAAAACAACACCTAACACTGTACATGTGGAATTTTACAATGCCTCTCCTTTGTAGAAGAAAAAAAATGATGAAGTGCCTCTTTTTACAGATCCAAGCTTAATAAAGCTCACAATAATACTGTTATTTTTATTCTGTAATAATAATACTTCACAAAACAGCAAAAACAAAACAATATTCACTGCCTAAAACAAAACACAAACATAGTTTTTCAACTGTCGACAGATCCCTCTATGAGGCAAGCATGAGGACTACCAGCAATAATAATTACAAAATAGATCTGAAATGTCACAAAAAGACTTTGACTTGTACCATTTAAGGACCACTAATAAGTAAGGGTGTTTTATTGTGTTTTAACCCCTGAAATCACCAAAATGAAGCTTATTTTATACTACAATATACAATGTTATATTGTGTCCAAAGTGCCCCTGTTAAAATTAATTAAAAAAAAAAAATGTTTGCATATGTTTTAATTTCATTTCATATTTTTCAAACCTGCCTTTAGAATTTTATAAGTCGCATATTTTAAATGCCCTATTGAAAATGTCTGCCTTTTCAGTATGCATTTTATTGGATATTTGTGTATGTGAACAAAACTAAACAAACAAACTAAAAAAAATTGTTCTTCCTATCCTATTTCCTCTTCTTCCTCTTTTTCTCGGTTCTTTCCTATAGATGCTGAATTTGCTTGAGATGACGTCTTTCCTTTCAAAGATGTTAATGCCGTATGCTTTTGAGCAGTTGTTGTTATACATAATCAGCATAATATTGTGTATGCCGTAATCAATATTGCGATGGTTTATGTGAAAAGAGGTCATTGTTGTTCTGTGATAAGATTTGCGAGATTTTACAGACTACTCTGTAAACTAGAGTATAGAGACACAGTTTTTTGAAGAATATAACAGAGAAACGAATACCGTTTTAATCTTTCTAGTCAGTAGACAAGCATATCATATGTTCAATACCAAATCCTTTTTTTCCCGCCAGAGGTTAGATATGTAAGCATGCTTGTGATTACACACTTTTCTAACACTTCTCTTTCTGCGTTACAGCTCTGAATGGTATTCACTATTGATTATATGATATTCTTCTGCTTGTATCATAGGCTCAAATCCAAAGACAAAGCATTTACTCTATTTATGACTACAGAGTTTGTTCGTTTGTTCATTTGTTTTTCAGAAACAATAGAAAATTATACATATATTTACAGGACAAAGTACAATACAGATTTTAACAGGAGAAGCAAGCAAACATAAAATATCTTTAGATGAATCATATATATATATATATATATGTGTGTGTGTGTGTGTGTGTGTGTGTATATATATATGATATCTTTCAGATACAGATGCTGCAGTTTCCTTACTAATCACACAAGGCATACTTTTAATAATAATGCTGACTACACAGTTTTAAAAGATGACATGCATGATTCCCTGAAAACGCAAGTGTGCTCATGTCATTTGCATGTTGAGGATCACTTTTTCTTGGCCACTGAAACCTGAAATGGTCCTAGTTAGGATTTGGATTGAATTTGGAAACGGAAATTACATGACACCTCAGTTCACCAGTAACAGAGTGTTTTTGTATAATTAATCAAACAATTAATCAACTAAACAGTCAATTTATGTAACAGATTTTGTTCTGCTACTGCAGTTCCAGCCTGTAATGGAGTCATAATGAAGAATTCCTAAACTAATACATTTTTTCTTTTGGAAAATAACCTTGTTGGACTAAATTCAGGAATACATTTTTTTATTAGACACATTTCTAAACTTCCACCACATCTATAAAATGTTTTCTTATTTCATTATAAGAGATGCTTACATAAAAATTTGAATCGACTGATTGTATACCTTATATTTGAAAAGGTGTGTAGTTCATGACATGAAATACATAAAATGAAATATAAATTTCTGTAGGTGGTATCATATGTTTTTTTTTTCCTAATTTAAACTAAAACTGCGTACCACACTACAAATTTCTTTAAATTGTATTCCATTTAAACTTCCCTAAATTAAAATGACAAGTTTGCCACCTCATTTGAAATTTGAATTCTAAATGGAGGAAATTAGCTTAAATTTACAAGACATTCTAAATTACATTCGGAATGATGGTTGAAAAAAATGTTTTTTTTTCTGCTGTTACTGGTGATCTGAGATAGGTTTCTGGTTTCTGGTACATTGATCTTTAGTACTTCATGGTAGCTGCACAATTTGATTTCTGCATTAATTCCAGTGGACTGTGTTTGTGGAAGTTAACACAAAGTTGTGTGTGGTTTGCAATATACAAGTATCATTATCTTAATGAGAAACAGCAAATTTGAAACTGTAAATTAGACATATTTACATGTACTCCTTCGGCAGATGCCTTTTGATATACAACTAGTGCATACAGTAGATTAGTGTAATAGGTAAAGATAGACAATATATGTAACTCTTTAATAATATCTCTTAAATGTACCTGTTTCATGGAATATTTTGTACTTTACATAACTCACCATTAAACAAAAAACAGGATTTCAGTCCAGCAAGAAGAGCAAATCTGTTCATTCCAAAGGTTAATATACTTATTATTTTTATTTAGTGGTTATTTGATTTAGTCTGTTTCCAAATTCATTTAGATTGACCCCAAACCC